ACTTAAGAATGTGCATATGATGATAATGATAACAATGGTGATTATGAAAAGTATATGAATAATCATTATAATTAGTAATAATCATAAAAATACTAGTGATGATAATGACTTCAATGATGATAGGGGTGATAGTAAGATGATAATGGTAATGACAATAAAATAATGATGATACTGATAATAGTAATAATGATAATGAAGAGGACAATGGTAATGAAAACAATAATACCAATAGTAAAAACAATAATAATAACGATGATAGTGATAATGATAACAATGATGATAGTAATCATAATAATAACGATAATGATAATAATAACAATTATGATGATGATGTTGATGATAATAATGATAAGGATAATGATGATAATAATAATAATAATAATAATGATAATAGTAATAATTATGATAATAACATTAATAAGGATAATGATGATGATGATAATAATAATAATAATAATAATAATAATAATAATAATAATAATAATATATAATAATATAATAATTATGATAATAACATGATGATAATGATAATTATAATAACAATATTAATAATGACAATGGTAATAATCATAATAAAGATAAAAATGATAATAATAGTAATAATGATAATGATAACGCTAGTAACAATAATAGCAATAATGATAATATGATAATGATATTGATGATAAGGATGATGATAGTGAAAGTAATGATAATAAAAACAAAGATAACAATGATAACAATAATAATAATCATGATAGCACTGATGATAATAATGACAATAACAATGACAATGATTAGTAATGATAATAAAAATAATAATGATGATGATAATGATGATAAAAATAATTGTAATGATAATAATTGTAATGATATAATGATAATATAACACAATGATAATAGTAATGATAATAATAATGATGATAACAACAAAATGATTGATGATGATAATGATGATTGATAAATAATAGTGATAATAATAATGATGACGGTGATAATAATAATAATAATGATAACAACAACAACAGCAATAATGATAATAATAATAATAATAATGATATTAATAATGATAATAATAACAATGATGATAATAAGAATGATAATAATAATAATGCTAATGCTAATGCTACTACTAATAATGATAATAAAAAAATAATGATAATAATAATTGTAATAATGATAAAAATCATGATAAAAATAATGATAGTAATGATAACACTAATAATGATAACAATGATAGTAATAATGATAATGATAATAACTACAATGATGATGCTAATGATAGTAATGAGAATGATGATGATTATATTCACAATTGTTATCTTAATGCCGCTAATACTACTACTAATAAACAAGTAATGACGCTAGTAATGATGATAATATCAATAATTATAACAATAATAATAATGATAATAACAATAATGAATAATGATAATGATAATGATAACAATAGTAATGATAATAATGATAATGATAATAAAAATTGTAATGGTAATAATGACAATAATGATAATGGTAAAAATAGTAAGAATAAAGATAATTAGAATAATGATGATGCTTAAAATGATGATAATAATGATGATACTTAAAATGATGATAAAAATGATCATAAAATGATGATAATAATGATAATAATAACAAAGAAAAAAAATCGTAAAACAGGCAAAAAAAAAAAAAAAAACATGCAATCAATTCTGCGTTGGCAACTCATCCTCCGCGTTGTCCATTTTGAATTCCTGTTGACGAAGAAGTCAAGCTCAAGTCACGCGGTAAACCAGGTTTCAGGATGGAGCCTTGATGTCAGCAGCAGCTCGGCCTGAGTGCCTTGAGGAAACTTCTGGTGCTGAAGCGGGGCCGTTACGATGACTTGGAAGTAACGGTTGAGACGACGAAAGAGAAGAAGGAAAGATGAAATGAAAGAATGGAAGAGAAAGAGAAAGCGAGAGAGAGAGAGAGCGATGTCTATGTTTGTTTATCTGATTCTGTCTGCGTGTCTGGATACGTGTGCTTAAGTGTATGCACGTAAACATACACGCACGCGCGCGTGCGCACACACACACACATAAACATATATGCATATATAAATAAACATATATATATATATATGTATATATATATATATATATATATATATATATATATATATATATATATATATATATATATATACAACACACACACACACACACACACACACACACACACACACACACACACACACACACATGTATGTATATATATATATATATATATAATATGTATATATATATATATATATATATATATATATATATATATATATATATATATATATATATATATATATATATTATATATATATATAAATATACACACACACATATATACATATACACACACACACACACACACATATACATATATACATATATATATATATATATATATATATATATATATATATATATATATATATATATATATATATATATATATATATATATATATATATATATATATATATATATATATAATATATACA